AAATTTCTTCTGTATAGAGCAGAGAACTGTATTCAATATCTTGTAATAACCTTTAATGAAAAAGAATATGAAAACGAATAGTGTGTGTGTGTGTCTGTGTGTGTGTATATATATATATATATATATATATATATACATATATACATATGACTGGGACATTGTGCTGTACACCAGAAATTGTCACATTGTAACTGATTATACTTCAATTAAAAAATAAAATAAAATAAAATAGAGGAAAGAGATGTGAAATGACACCGTGAGACATTTCCCCATTATAGTTTAGGTTATTTCAGCTTTGGTTATTATAAATAGTTCTTCTGAATTTCACTTACATGCTTAGCCACATACAAGTGTTCTTTTAAAAAGGCATACAGTATCTATTTGAAATATTCCAGGAGTAATTTAAATGAAAATTTAGAACTATAGATTTTGTATCTAGTTTCTGGTATTTTTCTTACAATTTAACATTTTATTTTCATATGTCATTACAAATGACAGATAATTCATATATGTTATGTAATTTTTTTTAAATCTAATGAAGTTCCAGAAATGATTCTTATTATATTTAAATTCAGACCACCTGGAGTTGCAAATTCAACCAGTATTCTTTCAGTGTTTGGCGAGATGTTTTTTTATCCTCCTAGCAGCATATTTAGAAGAATAGATGTCCTGGAGGGAGTGTATAGCTCAGAGGTAGAACACATGCTTAGTATGCACGAGGTCCTGGGTTCAATCCCCAGTAGCTCCATTAAAAATAAATAAATAAACCCAATTACTTCTCCCACACACAAAACAATTTTTTTAATAAACAAAAAAATTAAAAAGAATTATGTCAGATATAAAGAAATGCAGGAATCTCTTCAGCTTGTATGTTTAAAGGGGCATCAGTTTAGGGATAACCTCCTCAAATCTTCAGAATGGTTGGAGAATTGGAATATTCTAATTAAAGTTGATTTTTTTGGATAATGAAGGTGATTGTCCAAAAGACCTTTGAATCTGCAGTTTATAAAGGACCAGAAACTGTATCATTGACTGGCTGCTTTCAGACTGGTTTGCGTGTGTGTGTGTGTTTGAGGGGTTGGTGGTCTATGCCCCTCCCATCAGGTCCAGCCCCTGTTATTCTTCTGTCTGAGGCCTCCCGGTAAGCTTTGCTTGGAAGATAAGGTTTCAAATGTGCACTTCCTATCACATAGAAACAATTACAAGAAAATAACTCAGTGTTTCTAGATTTATTCAGAAGGTACTTCCAAGATTGGGATTATGGACTCAAATCCCCTTTTTAAAAAAATCTCCATTTTTTGGTTTGCTTTTTATAGATTTACTGAATAAAATTTGTTCGTTAAGTATTTGATTATTTGCCATCTGGATGAGCTGGAGTGAACGAGGAGCCCTTTCTGGACAGGGGATTTATTTCAGTAAAAGTTAACAATACAGTTTCTTATCAATCATCTCTCCCACGGTTTATAAGACTCATGCTACCGTAACTCCTAGTAACAGTATAATGAACTCTAGTAACCGAAAGTTTTTATAGCCGATGACTTCACTAGACTTGTCTAGACAGCAGTTACTCTATAAAATCATAGCATGTTGGGACTGGAAGAAGTGTAACACAGACCCTGTAACTTAGATGGCCTGAATAGTCTGTTTGCCATGGTAGCCAGGGTTTTGGGGTTTGAGGGACAGTGAGACCAATGACTTCAGCCTGGGTAGTGGGAAACTGATAGGCGTAAATACGGGAAGGTCCTAACTTTGGTTTTGGACGCAAGTACAAATATACAAAAGTATTATTCTCTGGAAACAGCAGCAAATTGGAAAGGAATTTGGTGTCTGGTTATGTTTGTCAAAATGGGAGCCACTCCCTGGAGGTTCTAGCTAGAGAAAGTAATTGCAGTCAAATTCATAAACTTTTGGATTGACTCTCCTTGGCAGAGTAATGCTAGCTTAACAAAAAAGAAAGTTCATGTTTTAATTTTTGCTAATGAAATCCATATGCTATCAAATAGGTAATCGTCAGTGGGATTCGGACTGGAACTGAGTGGTTCCCCAACCTTCAGCCATTTTAGTCAGGGAAATAATTAGTCAAATGGAAAAACTGATTGACTAAGAAACTTTTTAACTAGTCGTTTTGCTGTCCTGGCTATTGATATAAGACTGCCAGATGTGATTTTATGCAAGCCTGAAATGAACTCATCCCACAGTGTTACTGCCCTGTAAGTGGCAGAGACCAGAATGCACCTGCTAGTTGGAGAAGACCAGTTGCTCTGATTGATTTAGATTTGGTCTGAACACCTAGGATAAAATAGCCTTGTCTCTGAGAAAGTGTCTTGAGAGACCTTTATATGACTTCAATTGGATGGGTGGGACAGTCACTACGTAAATGCTTTGAGGGCAAATACCACATGAGCTTCTGGTTAACTTTGTGAATGTGAGAAAGTGACTTATGCCTGTAAGACTTTCTTCAAAGAAAGAACACTAATGATTTCCTGATGATTTTGGCTTATGGGAAATAAACATAGAGTGCGTGTATGTTTGGTGAAAAGTTTTTTGTGCAAAGCATCCTTTGCTCCTATCCTTGTGACAATGAGTAAATGACTCTTGCTTCTCCCTGTGACTGTCCTGTTTCTGTAGGAAGCCGCCCTCTGCAGACAGCTGCCCATGGAAGCAGAGACCCTGGCCACAGTTCAGGCTGCTGTCAACACCCCCGCCATGACCCCAGACATGAGATCCATCACGAATAATAGCTCGGATCCTTTCCTCAATGGGTAAGTCAATATTTTGAGGCCACTTACTTTTGCTTTCTTTATTATGTGGTTTCATGTATTATGGGTCTTTGTTTATGCTGGGAGCTTGGAGGTTGGGGTGAGGATAGAGGGAGAGTGTGGAGGGAAGTGGCAGAAAAGAAAAGTAGAGGAAGAAGTCATCTACCTTTTAAAAACAAAATCTCAAATTCAAAAATCGTGATATGACATGGAGTAAACCTCTAACCAATAATTTAAAAATGGGATGATTTCAATGGGATGGTGTTGTGTAGTAATTGTTAACAGGTTTCTTGTGGTTTCATGTAGCCAACAGGGGGATAAAAGCATGTCCTGTGGTAAATAGGGAACAATGAAGAGGTGATGTTTATGGTGAAATGTGAATAAGATTATAGTTTAGTTAATAGTATTACACATTGTCCATCCCTGGTGTTGATCACTGTACCATGTTTCTGTGCCACGTCCTCGGGAAAGCTGGGTAGAGGATGCACACGAACTCTGTACTCTTTTTACATCTTCTATGTGAGTCTAAAATCATTTTATGATAAAATTAATTAAAACAAAGGGGTGTTGTTTTAAAATATGAAACGTATGAGCAGAAGCAAAAGGTAATTTAGCCAGAAATATCTTTGTGCATAGAACAAGTCAATCATAATTATAGTCTTTTAAACCCAAATAAAGGGCAGTTTTCTATTTCTTGCATCTTTTCTGCCCTTGCAGTGGCTTCTGGCAAATGAGCAAATACAATTATGAAAGTTATTAAAAATAAAGAGATGAAAACAAACAGTAACCGATATGACAAAAGAAAGGCGTTTTAGATGATTGATTTAAAATACTTCAGATGTTCAGAGAAGTATAACGACTAATTCAAGATTTACCTATGTACCCAACACCCAGATGTGACATATTTCCATAGATCTTATTTTTTTTAATGTCTTATAATTAATATGTAAACTCATCCCCACCACTGAAATCTGTTTCTTTCCCTTCTTGCCGCCCTAGTGATAGCCCCTAGGCAGTTTGGAAGTTGATGTGTATCCATCATGCATATTTTCGTACTTCTTATTGCCTGTTCAGGTGTATCCAGAAGCAATATTCAACATTTTCTGTTTTTTTTTTAATTTACATAAATGGTATCATTCTCTAGATGTAGAACCAAGTGTTCAAATTGTTATTTTGAGTATTTTGAGATGAAAAGGGAATCAGTGTCAGTTTACTATGATGGCAGTTTTATTGGCTTACAATTTACTAATTTTACTGACAGAGGGTTATACATTTCCAGATGTAAAGGAGGCGCAAAGTTCACCCTCCCTTCATTACCTGGGAGATAGGGCAGGTTGACAGCACTATACTCTTTTGGGGCCTTTGTGACTGTATTTCAATTTTGAAATTTCTTTCCATCTTTTGCTCGGCAGGGGGCCGTATCATTCGAGGGAGCAGAGCACCGACAGCGGCCTGGGGTTGGGGTGCTACAGCGTGCCAACGACTCCGGAGGACTTCCTCAGCAATGTGGACGAGATGGACACAGGTGGGAGCGGAGCCTGCGAGTCCTGGCAGTGGGTCTGCACTTCCAGACCGTATCTTTAGTCATCTCAGTTCTGAAAGCCAACCAGAAACACTTAACCTCAACAGCAACATAAAATGACAGCTGAAAAGCCACCTGAACCACGCTATTAATAAACCCTAGCCCTTCCCTGTAGTTTACACAAATACAGTTTTATATATGGACACAGGATTTTAACTTCTGCTTTTTTTTCTTTACTGTTTTTTTTTTCCCCAGCTTGTTCCTGTAGCCCTTTCCTCACTATTGCATTAACATACCACTGTCTGCTTTGCCATTCTTCCACAATGGAATATTTATGCTTTTCCAGCTTTTGGTTGTAAGGGCTGGGCCACCAGGATGCAAATTTTTTCATGTTACTCACTGCATTTGGGAAGCAGTCGGCGGTGGGTATTTGAAAAGTTAAGCAACTCAGAGGATTCAAAATTGTCGGCTCCAAGTCCTCACAGGGTAACAACGTCCTCCCCCAGCAATGAAATGCGACCTAGTCCCTGGCTGCCCTGCCTTCAGGCCAGGCCTCATCTGGCTTCCGGTTACCTCCTTTTCTCCAGGAGTGAGGCTCCAAATGTGGTCTTATTGGCCAAACCTAGACTAAATTATCAAAGTCCTAAACTCCCAGAAGATATTCTAGAGCAAAAATTAAATTTAAAGAGCTGACGTGTCTACTCTTTGGAATTAGTCATGCAAGGTTCTCCTCCGTCATCCCTGTGGGTAGAAAGCTGTCCTGTGGTGACAGTGACCGCTTTCCCGAGTGCCACGGTCGGGGTGTCCGTGTTTCTGACACTCTGCTCCGCATGGTCCTCGTGCTCTGAGTCTAAATGCCTCGTCAGACAGGAGCCCAGCTCGGCCGGGGCGCTGGAGCAGCTGTTCAGGCCCTCGGTGCGGGCCGTCATCTCCATGTTTAGAGAACTGCACAGACTGTCTTGTGAGGAGTCACCCAGGAATGGTTTGAACTGTTTGTTTGGTTATCCTTCAATTTATTACTTCAGCCTTCTTCCTCCCTGCCCGCCTCCCTCCCTCTCTTTCTCCATGTCCTTCTTTCGTTTCCAGTGTAAGATTTATTTTGCCCTCTTTGGAACAGCCTTATGAAGTGGCTCCTTCCTATGTTTAATAACTGTTTGCTTTTCACCTTTTAAACACTGGGACGCCAGTAAAGCTAAAAAGCAACCTTAAATAAGAAAAGACTCAAGAGCTTATCTAAATCTAAGCTTGACATCGAAAAATAAAGAAGATGGATTCTTTCCTATGACTTTTAAAATTTTTATATTTGTATAGAATGAAAGATTCTTTAAATTGCTTTGCCATTTTCTAAAGTTTCACACACGTGATTTTATATAATCTCCATAATAACCCGTTTGTAAAAAACCCCCTACCCCATTACTGCTCCCGCCCCTCCCCCACTGGTAGCCACTAGTTTGTGCTCAGTATCTGTGAGTCTGCTTCTTTCTTGATTTATTCACCAGTTGGTTGTATTTTTTTAGATTCCACATGTAAGTGATAGCAGACAGTATTTGTTTTTCTCTATCTGGCTTATTTTTCTTAGCATAATGCCCTCCAAGTCCATCCACATTGCTGCCAATGGCAAAATTTCATTCTTTTTAATTGCTGAGTGAAAAAGCTTTCCATTGTGAATGTGTGTGTGTGTGTGTATCACATCTTCTTTATCCATTCATCTGTTGGTGCACACTTAATGGCTTTTTTAAATGATGTTGAATTGATAAATAAGGATTGTTTTGAAGCCAAAATGTAGAATTAAGTTGTGTCCTGAAAAGAAGAACATAGTTTTTGCAGACAAGCAACATGATTAATCTTTATTTCTCTGCTTCTTGGCAGTGAGTTTGGGGAAGTGATGTAACCTCCAGGGGCCTCACATTTCTCACCCGTAAAGTGGGAGTAACATGCTCACTTCATAGAGTTGTGAGAGTTCATGAGGCTAGCGCTTGGCACAGAGTTCTCCTCTCCTCCTAAGAAGGCTGAAGTCATGTACAGGTTGGACTTGTTAAATGTTAGGTAGGGTTCCAGGTTATGTGAATGTTGGCCCGTTGAGTTTAGGGTCACATCTGTGAAGTCTTATAGGAAGTGAGGATAAACCCACTCAGGGGAGAAATGTAATTAATTACATAGTAACAAGATGAGGAAAAGCTGCCCAGAGCTCAGGTGTGGCTAGAAAAGGTCTAGTAGACCCACTGACCAGAAGTTGAATGGGAAGAAGCCAGCTGAGCACTCCCTTTGCAGAACACACCTGGAAACAACAGCTGGATGTGGTGTGAGGAGAGAGTGGAGGGAATAACAAGAGCAAAGGCTGGGAAGTCACCCATCTTTTCAGAATATTCTCTGTTGATCACATCCTTTCAGAATTGCCCGGTTTTTGGTCTGTCCCACTTTTTGTTGATTGATTAATTAATTATTATTATTGTTGATGCAAATATGCCTCCTTTAGTTTTTTAATCGAAGTATAGTTGCTGTACAATATTATATATGTTACATATGTACAATATAGTGGTTCACAATTATCAAAGTTTATACTCCATTTATAGTTATTGTAAAATATGGGCTATATTCCCCATGCTGTATAATATGTCCAACCTTTTTAAATTCTCAAATTTAATTTAATTTTATTTTATTAAAGTATTTTATGTCCCATTTTTTAAATGGATAAAACTGCAAAGACCGAAAAGATAACTATGAGGTTGGAAAGTTGCTCCAAAGAGAGACATTTAAAAAACTTTAACCTTAATGAAGAACCTTTAGTCTCTTTATGCTTTCTATGTCTGAAGAGAAAGGATAAGAGGAATTCTTTACAACAGAGGTTTGATTTGGTTAATAAGTGTATTCTTGACTTACTGAAAAGTTAAAATGAGAGATCAGTAGAGATGAATAATTCTAACTGGAGATGAAGAAAAGACATCCAGCACTTTAGATCAGATAATTTTTCAGGGCAGATAATTTTCTTAAGCCTCCTTTCATCAGTTACACTCTAGTGGTTAGGAAAAGTTATTTTGGATTTTGTTTTCTCAGTTGATGTTGTTTTTCAATGTCAGTGATACAACATCAAAGTCATGTTGAACTTGATTTAATTTTTCAGACTACTGCCTTTAACAATGAAAATCCTATAAAATATTTCCAAGAGTCATTGACATTTTATAAGTTAGAGAAAAGCCATGGAGTTTTGGTGTCATCCGAATGCAAGTTTGATTATGTTTCCCTCATCACTCAAAAAGATGTAGCTTTTCTCCTTGGAAAATGCATGTGGTTAAAATGAATTTTCTCGGGTTTTGCTCAGAATAGTGAAATTTCTATGCACGTTTCTCAGGAAGGCTATTGTACTTGTAGGACCCAAAAGCTAATTTAACAGGTTTCTTCAAATTGATTCTGTGGTGGAAGCTGGTCATAGTTATCAGTGCTCCTCAGACTTTGAGGTATATTTTATCCCTTCAGATAATTGACTAGGCTATTGGAATGAACCAATTGTTCCCAGGTTTTTCTTTCTCTCAGCACAATCAACAAACGTTTGTTGTGTTTTCGTATTTGTACGTGTGCGTATGTATGAATGAAGCCCAGAGCCACATATATGTGGCAGATCCTATATAGCACTTAACTCCAGAATGTAAAGAAGGTACTGTCACCCCAATTTCAGACACGTGAGGTGTGTCTGAGGTCACACGGTTAAGAAGCTCTGTCTCCTGGCACAACAGTCAATATGTTTTCTCCTTTACATTATTTATAGAGAATATGTATTCTTCATGTCACATCCCAGACACTTTACTCTGGAACGGCATTGTCAATTATGTCCTCCAGACTCTAGTTCTATTAGGATATAAATTCTGCCAAAATTGGATTTGATGATAAAATGGATTTAGGTAATACTGGCTTAAGCAAAATAAAACAGAGTTCCTTACTACAAGACTTCTCAGAACCTTAATATGCTCCCGTGCACAGTGACTCATGCATTGTGGGGAAGAAAGATATATAGTCGTGGGGTGTATGTGTGCATGGAGTGAGGGGGGCAGTCTGCAGAACCCACCTTTTAAAATACTTTGAAAATTATCCCTAGAGCTGTCGATGAAGGTAGCTTTTTTAACATTTAATTTAATTAATTTATTTTTAATGGAGGTGCTGGGATTGAACCTGGGACCTTGTGCATGCTGGGCAAGAACTCTACCACTGAGATATACCCTCCCCTGCGAGATAGTTGTTTTAATAACGTGGTGAAAAGAAACTCCTCCTATCTATCCACACTCCTACTGTTTTTGAGCATAAAGAGGGATGATGGGGCAAATTCAAGCTTACAATTAAATTGTTGGATTGTAGCTCCGTAACAAGATTATTACAGGCAGAACCTTTCTACCCTTTCACAAACCAGTTCTTTGTGACATTCATGAGAAGGCGTCGATCGGAGGTCAAATCCACAGTGCCTTCACTTGCTCCTTTCCTATCTCCCTGGACCACCTGTCCCAGACCGTGTCAACCCAGAACAATTCAAGATTCACCTGGCATCTCTGTATCTCTTACGAGTGAGCATCATCAACTCAGTATCAATAATGTGGTAGCTGAAATTGTGCACAGAGATGAAGTATTTTCGACCTGCAGCAATAAAATCTTCTGTTTGAATGTAGACAACAGCTGAAATGAAGATGAGAGTTACGCTGACAGTTGAATTTGTCCCAGTTTCAAGAGCTTAGAAACAGGAATTAAAATGGTTTCATTTCACTCTGTTACAGGAGAAAACGCAGGACAGACTCCCATGAACATCAACCCTCAACAGACCCGTTTCCCTGATTTTCTTGACTGTCTTCCGGGAACAAACGTTGACCTCGGAACTTTGGAATCTGAAGATCTGATCCCCCTCTTCAATGATGTAGAGTCTGCTCTGAACAAAAGCGAGCCCTTTCTGACCTGGCTGTAACCGATAACCATTGTAGCTTGGGTGCAGCCATGACCTGGCATTTCCTGGGCCTCTTGGAAAAAGCGATGGAGCAGAGCAAGTCTGCAGGTGTGCCGCTTTCTGCCTCCATGACGCATGCTCCCTCCTTTCCTTGTGGCCAGTTTAATCATTGCCTGGATTTGATTGGCAGTAACTTAACTTAAACATAAATAAACATTCTATTTTCATTTTCTGCACGCCTGCATTCCTGTGATGGGTTATGCAGAATCATTTCTGCAGAGTTGATTATGCAGAATTGCTTCTCCGCTTTTCTCTCTGCTGCCCCATGACTAAGCTTTATGGGTGTTCGTTGAAATTCATACATCAGTTGATTATAAACCATGAAAAGCTGACCACAGGCAGTGACTTCTGACAGGCGGCTCGGTCCAGGAAATGTACACAAAATTCTACCTGATTTACAGTTTCAAAAACTGTATTGATAACATTAGTACCAAATGCTTTAAAAAATATTTAACTTGAGCTTTAAAAAAAAATCATTGTATGGATAGTAAAATTCTGCTGTATGGAATACAATGTAGTTTTGAATCCATGCTGGTTCTGATGGTTCTTATTACTTTGTATTCACAAAGGCACACACAGCCCTATTGCAGTTTATCCTTCATCATTTTACTGTGCAGCAGCATCTAGACAGCCAGTCCTTCCAGCAGGAGAGGAACAGCAGCATGAGTCACAGTTCCTCCACTAAGATCTTATGAAAGAGACCAGTTTGGCACCAATTATGAACATTTATTAAACAAAAGTTTTTAAAATTACAAGTTGGATTTTTTTTTTCAGTTGCAGCTTAGAACTTGACGTTTATTTTATAAAGCGCTATCATTTTGTAGCTGATGACAAAGGGCAACCAGATGTTTTTGATGCATCAGTGGCAACTGTATTTTGGGCTTTGGAAACTGTCCTGAAAACATCGGGACAATGTAGCTTTCAACCTGCTAGCATACACAGGAAGCTGTTGCTTTTTAAATTCTGAAGCCTTGTTGGTTTTGCTTCTTTCAAGATTTTCAAGTGTTGAAAAACACTGTTATCTATGAAACTGAAGGATGAAGCAGATCTCTGACTGACGTGTAAAATAACGCCCCCTGAGGGTGGATGGTGGAGACATGTTTCTGAAGTCAGTGAAGTTGATTCCTAAGTATATTATCCTAACCCTGTTTGCTACAGTTGGTATCAAAAGGCATGTAATATGTACTCAGTACCTCTTATGTAACCAAAAACGTTTTTTATTAGCTCCTAAGGACTGAGAGAGAGCGTCAGGTCCACCTGACATGCACTCTGCCTGCATTGCCAATGAAGTCCTCAACTGTTTAATATTGTGAACTGACATTATTTATAATCTATGAATTTAATATCTTTTTTTTTTGAAAGACATTCATAATGCAGGTCTCTGAGAGGAACCTTTTAATTCCCAAAGGGCTTATTTGCTGGGGATCTTTAATTAAAGATCCCTTTCGATCTACCAGATTATAGACGAGCAGAATACATCTTATCTTGTTGGAAAGAAGGCAAGTGACAAGGGCAGAGATGAAGTAGTCAAGTTATGGAATATAGTGGAAAGGATACTAGGTGTGAAATGGAAGTAGACAAGCTATAGGACCCCAAGCGAGACGAGCGAGACGAGCAGGAGGCATGAGAGGTGCCCCGAAAGAACAAAGCAGCAATTTTCTCCTACAACCTTTGTACCAAAAGACAGCTATATAAGAAAAGACGGCTTCAGTGCACTTTATGTGGGAAAAGGAGGGGCGGGGATGCTAGTGCCCTGTCCCCGCTGATGCTGAGTACATAGACAGACAAAGGCATAAACCTACCGTTGCTCCCAACACAATGAAGTGATTTTTTTCCCCCCAAAGGACCCATAGTTTCTGTTCCTCTGATTCCTTCTCTCACTCGAAATGCTCTGAGAGGGATGGGGGTAGATGTTTCTGTTGCTACTAAATTGAAGGGAGCACTATTTCTTTTTCTCTTGTGTTAGCAGTCATTGCAAAAAGCATTGTACATTCTTTCTAAGAAAAAGCAAAAAACAAAAAAACAAAAAAACAAAAAACAACCAAAAACAAGGGACCTAATAAAACTGAGCAGTGTTACTGTATTTTTAAAAAATATTTTTGTAGACTCATTTTCAGGTTATTAAACATAAAAGAAACAGATACCCCTCTTCTTTTTTTAGGTAGTTAAAACATCGATGATTTGTATTATCAGTTTTTAGAAGTAATTTCCTAGTAAGCTTGTGGCATTAGAAAATACTAGAAAAATTTTTTTAGTGAAATTAGTTGGAACATTTATTAATGAACATAACAAGTATTTTTCCAGAATTAAATATGGACCCAGACTACATGTTTACTAATAAATGAAGCCAGATTTAATTTTTGTTGTTGTCTTTAAGGCCATAAAATACAGCCTTTGTTAAAAAACACTAAAGCTAGAAATATAAAGAACAACTTTTAAAGGATATTTCCTATTATTTTAAGGGTTAAAACCCCTGCAGAATTCATGATAAGGTGCTATTTATACTTTATTTCTTATTTTAAAACAACTGCGAGAATATCTTGTCTTTTTAGTCTTAAATTAATCCATAAATTTCAACATTTCATCCAATAATTTTGCCAGGAAAAAGACATATTAAAAATTGAAATTGAAAATAATTTCATAGATCTTTCTTTCAAGGTATTTTTTTCCCCTGATAAAACACATTTTCTTGAAGTAGATACACTGTCAAAAACTATTTGCAATTCTGTTAAATCTAAGTAATTGTTAATGTTTTACCATAGCATTTAGGATGTGAAATGCCATTTCTTTCGTTGACTATATGATATAGGAGGAGCACGTAAAACAGTAAAACCTTTAGTTTGTTGGGGGTGCTGCCGACCCCATCAAGGGAGAAAAGTTCTCTGTAGAAGAAGGCAATCTGGAGTGTGAGTTTCGCTAATGACAAGTTGTGTTCTCATGACATAATTGGAAAGTAACTTCTGAAAGTGCAACTTTTAAGAAAAATAAAAGCAGTTAAAAGGAAATTGTACATTAATTTAATTGGGAAAATGGGCAATTGACAGAGACCATTTCCCTAACACACTACATCATTTATGTGTTAGTACTTTAACTTTTTAAAAAATTATTTCTACATTTTGTAATATGACATATGTGTGTTTATTTTTAATGTAGATTTCTATGCATACAGAAAGTATGCAGAAAAATCAGTCAGATCAAACTATTTTACCTGGAGTTTGGTACTGATTTTTACTTCTCTGATTCTGTATAAGAAAAAATAAATACAATTGAATTTCCACTTGGAGCCTTCATCTTGTTATTATTTGAGTGTGTTCCTTTTATTGAGGACTTTGGGTGGTGCTGAAGAAAGGCTTATGTAACCCTCCTGGCAGACAATGAAAGAAAGAAAGTTTTGTAGGCAAATGTATTTTTGGCTCAAATGCCTGACCTTCAATATTTTAAATACCAAGGGGGAGGGTATGGCTCAGTGGTAGAGCGCATACTTAGCATGCACGAAGTCCTGGGTGTACGTTCATTAAAATCAATCAATCACTCAACCCATCAATAAACAAACTTAATTACCTTGCCCCTCGAAGAACAACAACAACAAATATTCTGAATATCCACAGAATTCTGATTTCTACTTTTATTTGAAGTAGCTCACTGAGACTTTAAAAAATATATTCTTTTTCTTTTTTTAAAATCACTTGGTCCTTCCAACACCCTCACATATCTGACTGAGACATCAGAACTATAGGATTCTTGTTGTTCCTCAGTTATTAACAATATTCTGTGGCTTCTTGTCGAAACTAAAAACAGCTCATCATTCATTCAGAGTGTGGGCTTGTGACAGTGTGTTTTCTCTTCTGAGTCACTTGACGCTCGCTGTGGTGATACCTTTGACCATTCCACAGAGGCACGTGGTGAAAGCACCCTGAGTAGGACAGTGTTTTTAAGCAGAAGCGTTCAGCCAAACGATGGAAAGTAGAGATTCTGGTAGAAACAACTTAGCAACAGTCCAGAGTCCAAGTCTCATGTACCTTTTAAAAAAATATATTTCATCATCACTTTGAAAGTAACATGGGCTGATTGTTGAAAATGTAAATACCAACATGTATAAAGTAAAAAGTGATAATTCTCTATCTTTCAACTCTCACACTTTAAGAAATACATCTGAGTGTTTTTTTTCTCTGTAGTATAAGCTGGACTTTTTTTTAACAAAAGAAAAGTAATTCTACCTGCTGTTTTGAAGCTTTCATTTTTATCTCTGAACAATCACAATGATTTCACTAATATATATTGAGCGTTGACTAAATGCCAAACACTATGCAAAACACTTGATGTATAGGATCTAATCTGCACAGCCACCCTATTTCAATATTTTATCCTCACTTCACAGATGAAGAACTTGAGGTTTAGAGAGGTAAAGTAAGTTGCATAAGGTCTTATAGTAAGCAAGAAATACATTCCAATCTCATGATCATCTTTCTATGCCAGTACCTGTAGTTGTATATTTCATTATTTTTAACAAGTAGCTTCCTTTTGCATGGATGTCCCCCGTTGGTATCCAGTTGGTCGTTTTTCAGTTTTTGCCTTTACCAGTAGTGCTGCACTAAACCATCTGTTCTTGTGTGAGTATGGCTAGAGGAGAAATTCCTAGGAAAGGAATCACTACATCAAAAGATACGTGATCTCAAATTTTGGTGGATTCTGTCAAATATGTTTGAAAAAAAGGACTGTATCAATTTATACTTCCAGGAACAAGATATGCAAAGGCTCGTTTCACCATTGCCAACCTAGACCTGGCTATTGCGTAACTTTTTTTCTTTAAGATTGAAAAGCTTTACTACAAACATGCAGTCTTAAAAAAAAAAAAGAAGTTAAATTTGATTTGTGTAAACATTAACATCTTTTGTGTTTTTTACCCCCTCGCTACACATTCCATAAAATATTCTGGAAGATAAGTGGAATATATATACAAAGTACAAAAACTGAATGAAAGATATATTTTTTATTTCTATCAATAATATACAATACAAATTAGTTTCTTTTTCTGTTTTTTCCCCAGCTTTATTGAGATATAATTGACAATGTGTAAGTTTTTAAGGTACACAATGTAGTGATTTCATACACATACATATTACAAAATGATTACCATGCATCACCTCACATGGCTGCAAAATTTTTCTGTGTGTATCTTAAGAACTTTGACTAACTCTTAAATCTTTGCAAATATGATAGGTAGACAATATCTTTCTGTTACAGTTTGTATTGCTTGAATTAATAGTAAAATTGAATGATATTTTCATAATGTTATTGTCTATGGTGGGTGATGTGAGTTCTCACCCAGATCACCTTAGATTCCTTTTTACTGTTTTTGTGCACCCCACGAGATATTACCTGCCCCCTTCATTTTTTTTTTAATGAAGGTACTGGGGATTGAACCCAAGACCTCGTGCATACTAAGCACATGCTCTACTCCTGAACTATACCCACTCCCTTAGTCTCATTTCTTACTCTAGTTATCTACAAAACACTCACTTTCTCATAACACTAAAAATCTCCCATTCTATAATCTTCCTTAGTGTTTGAACAGACTTGATACATTCAAGAGATTGATGGATTTGTGTCATATACACAAAGACAACTCTTTTTCTTATAGCATTTCTGAGCATCCAATTGCTAGACTGGAGAATGAGATACTGATTTTTTTGTGTGTGTGTGGTGCTAATCCCCATAAATAGCATCATTTCAGCAAGCATGTTCATTACTGCCTAACTAGAGGGCCTGATATTTCCACTATTAGGATTAAGGACTTTTTCCAGAAAAAATCCCCCCCACCCCAGATATCTTACCTGGTAATGATGATGTAGCTGATTAGGCTACAAATGGAGAAAATTAATTTATGGGATTAGTGGAGATTTAACAGTCACCAAACCCTGCACTCGAGAAAGAGAATCCATTTATGGAATTAGCATAGGGTAAAATAAGAGTTTCAGAGAATGAGAACACGGGAAATTTTTCTTAAAAGGGGGAAGTGAATCTGGTACACTCCATGCAGCATTGCAAGTCCTGGAGAAGGTGGATGTGTGGGTTGAGGAAGGGCAGGTGTGGGCAGTGTCCTTCACGGACTTGCCCTGGGCTTCGTTGCCACAACCAGTTAAGAAGTTCAGTGCCATGCAAGTATTAACACCACAACCTTGGCCGAGTTTCTTACGGTTTTGGAATTTCAGTTTCTTCCCATGTAAACTGGTTAAATGAGAGAGTGGTGAAGATCAAGAGACATGAGTCAACGAAGAACACTCACTAATTCAAAGGTGATCAATAAATGTTCATTTCCTTCTTTTCTTGGTGAGCTTTTTCCTCTTCTTCCCAGGGCACATACATTTTTCTCCACAGCACTTACCACCATCAAACAGTTAAGATGTCCTTGTCTCACCCCCAGGAGCCTGCCAGGGCTGCGAGAGCAGAGATTTTTGTTTGTTTAGTATCTGGCACCTTGAACAATGCCTGGTACACTGTTTACAATATTTGTTGTTGAATGAATATGTTGGTGAGATTGTCATTCACACTGCAAGCCTTCCTGGGGACAGCGCCTTCCTGGGGACAGCGCCTTCTTTGATTGACTTGTTTGCTTGCACTTCCATGTCTCGATTTAAGGAGGCTTTTGGAAAATGTTCCTCAATATTAGAGAAAAATTGGATTGAAGAAAGAGGGCCAAACCTGCCTGCTTAGAAATTATCTGCTGAGTGACCTGCAGGGCCCTGTTGCCATTAGAGGGCAGCAGATGGCTTCGTCATGTTGTGGTGACAGGTGCCCCCAGGCCAGGGAGCAACAGGAGAGGCTGGGGAATGACTGGGGCATCACAGGAGGGGGAAATAGAAGGACATGCAGAATATTGACATTTTTGTTATCTTATCTGCACTCCTACACATCCCTTGCCAGGAAGATATATAGCTTTTGAGTGAGAATAAAGTTATTTGTAAGTACACAGAAAAAAAAAAGGAAAAAATAAGGTGTTAGAGCAAGCTTCATAGTGGAGTCCATGGACCACCTGCCTCAGGTTATCCTAAGATGTCAGTGTAAAATGTGAATTTCCCTGACTTCCTGCATCTGAACGAGGCTGACGGCTAGGAGTCTGCATTTATTTAGCAAACTTCCGGGGACTCCGACGCACTCTCAAGTTTGAGGACCAGCACAGCTGACGAGCAGTCTCCAAAGTTTTCTATCATGGAGCCCCAACGTATGTATGTTTATTTCTCTATTTATAAACTATATACATGGGTGACTGTCCTAATGTTATCTTGTGCATTATAAAACATTTCACGAAAATAGACGTTTTGAAAGGTTGGCAAAACATATACGTTAAATTTTACATATGAACTTCCCACGCCACCTTTTGGATGAGAGAATGAGGATAATTCATGCTGATGAAATGTTAGTTAGTTAGTTGATCCTCAGGGTGACTGCGATGGCATAACTCTCATTTTCTCAAGTTTATGGCCCCAATATCGGTGGGCATGAGACTGCATGGTCATCTGGAGAGGTTTTATTTTGGCTTCCATAGAGTTACTGGGAATTATCTCCCTCTCTCTCTCTCTCTCTCTCTCTCCCTCCAACCCCCACGAAAATTCACATTTGGTGCTGGGGAAAGTTGTCCTATTTACCCTCTTCCCCAGCCTGATGCCCTGAGTGCAACTTCTGGGTGGGAAACTGAGGGTGGACTGCTTGGTATGTTGGCATCCTAGAGCCTGGCAATGTCAGGTACTTACACACACACACACACACACACACGCACATAGATATACACACTCCCCTGGGACTACTTCAAGCCCAAACAAGTTGCAAAATCATCTGCTATGAAACCCTGCCTGCAAAAAGCTTCAAATTCGTGATTAGATTTTAAATTTGGCTCTTAACCTTCTGAGGTCATAGGTCTCTATGAGAATCTAATGAAGTCTATGAAATTTTTCTCCAACATGGGGAAAAATTACTCATCTGATCATATAGACCATTTCAGAGGGTGGGAAAGTTTCTGCAGTTCTCAGAGACTGGACCCTGAGCCAGCAGCGCTGGCCTTTCCTGGGAACTTACTAGAGATGCCCCCCTCCCCCCCCGCCACGCCTACTGAGTCAGAACTTCAGGGCGGGAATAAGCCCTCCAGGTATTTTTGGTGAATACTCAAGTTTGCAAACACTCCAGAGAAGTGGTTCTCAAATCCGCCTACTTCTTAGAATCACTTGGTGAATTAAAAAAAAAAAAAAAAGGCACTGATGCCTGGGCTCCAATCTCCTTTAA